CAACTTGAGGAACACTATGGAAGGGCATCAATACTAATTATAGCCAGCATGTCTCCAAAGTAGCTCTAGTAATGAAACAAGAAACTGTCCTAACCAACTCAATGATATTTTGTATCCTTTTCTTCAGTAAGGAAATAAAAAAATTGCCAATTCTATAGATAAACAAAATCTACAGTACATTGACACACTTCATCAGATTCCTCAATACATAAATGTACTTGAGAAATACTACTAACATTTCTTTAATATACCTCATCTTTGAAACAAAAAGTAAGATACCAACTGACTCAGCATTTTGTATGCTGTGAAGAAAAATCACTCATCTTAATATTTGTGTGAATGTTATCCTTACCAGATCCTCTTGCAAATCTTTAGTTTGCTGTCTTACACCACAAAAATTTTTATCTGAGGTTTGACTGAAAAATATTTGGAGGTACCTTGCTTTCACAGAAATGAGATGCCTGTTAATATTTCTGAATGCTTTTAAGGTGCATTGGTCTTACTGGAAAAACAGAAGGACCACCAAAACAATTAAACAGCATATCTATGGAATAGATTTTTCTTACTGTTCACAGCAAATTATCGAAGCGCCAGGAACCACTACTCAGTTGTTTCTTCTTATTCAGAAAAAGACTAACTCTTTCAGATCATGCTATATTATGGGACAGCAGGCTAGGACTGTTTCATGGAATGGCACCTTAAAATTCTGCAAGATATTAATATGCTACAATGGTAAACTCAGCTTAGTGGCTGCACCCTCCTCCTCATTAGATGAGAGGTAGTTTCTTTCAATTTTTACAGGATTTTCTAGAGCTACTGCCAAAATTTTGACAGCTAAGTGGCTACCATTCAGAGCAGCACTCACTGGAACAGGCATACATCATAAAAAGTCACATTAGAGAATTAATGTTGCCAATTACACAGCAATTCATGATTCACTCTTCCCCATGAAGTATTACAGAAGAAGCTGGGTTGTATTGCTCTGTTTTGAAGACCACAACATAGTTGTAAAAACTTGCTTTTATCTTGTATACATTAAACAAACCACGGACTACTTTCACTGCAGTCATACTGCAAAGATCGAGAAATCACCAATACTATTAGCAATCCTGATCATGAAAATACCTAAAGAAAAATTTTCAAACTATTATCTTCAGTGTATTTAACTGTAACAGATTACATGGCTGTCTGAGGAGCTGCAAAGATTACTGATGAAATGCTTAAAACTCTTAAGTGAAACACTGAACTTATGCCATCACTATACTATTTGTACATTATTACTAAAGCATCATCAATAAAAAAAATTTGTAACAGGCAAGCTTTGGTATTTGTTGGTCTGCAGTATTTTCAGTTTAGTGGGAAGCTCATAAAAAGATTTTGGGCCTTTTTTACCTGGATGCCCTGTAGCAACTTCTGAAAATTTCTAATAGAACAAGAAGATAAAAACTCCAGTGAGAATTGTTGAGGGAGTTATCTGTAAAACTTTAATAGGGATAAATAAACTTTTGCTTCTTTTTTTAGGAGATAAACACGTGCTCAGTCAAAAAGGACTGAGAAAGCTGATGTGTGCATGGGGGCTGAGATGGAGGTAGCTGCTGCTTTCCCAGGTGCAGCTGATGGGAGCACACTGATTACACTGCCCAACGTAATTCATCTCCATAAAATGACAGCCCAGACTCTAATAATTACAAGTGATTTGGTCAAAGGAAGATCCACCAATATGGTGCTACATTTAATTTGAGATGTAGAAGAGTAACAGCAAATGCTGCTGTTGCATGCATCTTTATTTTATCTTGCCACATGAATAATACTTTCTTTTTTTTTTCTTTTTAGTTCAGGTTTTAGATAATCTGGAACCACAGCTTAACATATATAGGACCACAGAATCATTTGGGTTAGAAGAGACCTTACAGATCACCTCATTCCAACCCTTGCCACGGAAATTCAGCAGCATGAACTGTGTATTTGCAACGTAAGATAAGTCACAGATCTGAACAACACACTAATTTACTTTTAGCCACATAGAGCACTTGTTTCAACACCAGTTACCAACATTAGACATACAAAAAAATATTATTCTTATAATGAGAAGTCAGCATATGGTGTATTATTCATTACCGACCTACATATAAAATGTTGGGTTTTAAGTAGTACTTTGCTCACAGAATTTTTACAGATGCTCATCAGAATTACCTGAGAATGCAACATACAATAACAGATCTATTTGGAAAATCTACAAGTCCTTGTAAACAAGATGAAGCCAACACCTCATTGTATAAAAACAATTCCAGATTTAGCAGTCTTAACTGCAAAAGCATCCTTGCACCCTGTTTTAAAAAAACATGAACAAAAACTAGAGAAGATTCTCTGTCACCAACTGCAATTTGACTGCAGAATGAGGTAAATGAAGAAGGTTGAGGGTTCATGGGATAGTGGTGGGGTGGGTTTGTTTGTATGGCCTTTCATGGTTTGTTTGTTAAGGCTTTATAGAAACAAATACTTAAGCAGAAAAAATTAGAAAGGCTACTTCACAATCTGCATAAGCACATTTAACTTAAATTGCTACTGAAAGACACAATCCCACTTTTTTCCCCTGCACTTCAGCTCCTACATTATGTTAGCTGTACAGACACATCATTTTCTAGCAAGTGAAACAACCTGCCAGACTCCTGATTTGGCAAGTTTGCTTTCAGACAGATCAATGAGATAATCCAACCTACCCCGCAACTTCATGATCCCTAGAAGCAATAGGAGTAAAGGAATGACAAAGCCAGAGCTGCAGGGAGGGCAGACAGCCCTTTCCAGAAGCAAAGTCTTAGATCAGCATAAACTTATCAGCAATCCTATCACCACAGGTTGTAATGATTCACTGCACTTTCTATTACAGGTTTTTCTACTTTCATGCCTTTCTCCTCCCTCAGCTCAGGTTTCCACTGTCTCAGTGTGACATGGTTTCATAATGTATTTTACAGTAATCCTGGCTTGAAGTATTCTCCACATACACACACACACACCACCTCCACCTCCTCCTCTCCAGACTCCTAACCCTGGCTCAGCTAAACCCATTCACCTGCCTCCTGTCAGAGCCTCAAGCAGTTGAAGGAACAGCTCAGATTTAAGAGAGCTTCCATGGCAAAGTTTTCTTTCAAGACTGTGCAGTCCGACATGCATTTTACAACCTAACAGAAGAAAAACCAAATTTTACTAAATCCCTTTCTTGTACTGTTGACTACCACCTCTGCTCAAAAAAAGCTCCCACAAAGTGGTCCCAACACAGCATCTGAAAGGTCATCCCCTTCTGCTGGATTATTTCTCATATGGAATAGTACTCCAAGCCTGCTCACTGTGAAGCCAAAGAAACATTTGTACCAACATAGTGCAAGAAGTAACACAGGAGCAGGACAGCGCTATTTTTGGCAACCATAAGATCGTAAGTGCACGTCAGCACTCAACTTCAAGCCAAATCAGCTCCCTGATCTGATTCACAGCATGCACACTGTGCAGTACAGAGAGAACCACTGGAAGAATGAAGAAGGAAGTATCTATGTTTCAGGAACAAGCAACAGGAAGAGATTATTACCTTAGACTGGTACTACTGAGCACACTGTACCTTGAATTTAGAGTTTCAGACAGAATTAGTTTCTGACCAATGGTCTAGTTAGTAAAAGTTTAAGTAGGAGGCTGTTTCCTTCTTTTTGCTTCTTAGATTTTCAAACATCTCTTGCTTTCAAAAAATCAATTTCAAGACACATGTAGCCAAAGAAACAATGAGGTATATACATTTACATGGAATTCACAAGAATGTATTGCACAACACTTAGTCTTCAGTGAATAATTATGAACACAAAGAGAAAATAAAAAATGTGACTTGAGGCAGAAAGCAACAGAAGTTACAGGGTAAGCAGTTACCAAGCACAGGACAAAATCAACACAAAAAGAAGCACCAAGGGAAGTATAAATCCAAGATACTGGTCTGCTCAGGACTTTGCAATTCACTCTGTACCTTACCATACTGAACTTTCTAACTACTAATCACATCAATGTTAATTGAATGGTATTTTGATTTATTAAGTTTGTTTGATTTTAGATGGAGATATTTTCACCTTTTTCATCCTTCCTGCTCCCAAGCAAAGCGTTTGTCTGCAATATACAGAGAAAATATTGAAGTATTTGGGTTCCTGACAGCTGTATTTAAATGCTAAATTTCAGTTATTCTTTTTTAAAGAAAACATTGCATATAGTCCCCATGAATATGAAAAATCTCTCCTCATATTTTTGAATGTGCAGTTATTAGTCCTGCCATGAGCCAATTTTGTAAACATGAAAGATTAATGCAATGAGCTGTTCCCTTGATTTCATCTTTTTTTCTTTTCTTTTAAACAATTCACTTTTTAAAAGAACAGTAGCATCTAATTAACACATGCATTTATTTTCTTTAGATGCAATTCTATGCATAGGCATTAGAAACAAAATACTATGGCATTATTAAACATAATGGTATGGAATGATATGCATTTACTAATTCAAGTTTTTTCAAATAATTTCTAACTTGATTTGAATAGGGAAATGTGGGGCTACAAACGGGCACTGACTTCTTATTTATAAAATAACTGTATGATTTGCAATTGAAAACTTAGACCGAGGCTGCTCAGACCTTGGGTTAATCGACACGTTAGTCACGGCATTTTTCAGTGATCAAGAAACCAGGTTACACAACCTGCCATGGCAGCGCAGGATATTTATTGTTCTATATCTGCGTGAAGTCCCTGCCTTGTTACTAGCAGGGCTGCCTTTTTTTTCCCCTCTCCCACTCCTCCTCCCCCCCCCCCCCCCCCCCCCCCCCCCAAACGTTTCTAAGTATAGTGACAACCTCATCAGGGTTTACTAGTAGCAGCGCAAGCTCAGTGAAAACCTGGGAAATCTAACTGGAAACATGAGAGAGAGCTTTATTTGGCAGTGCTAAAAAAACCTGGGGACAAATGGCTAAGCGGCGGTGGAAGTGCAGGCTGCACAATCAATAGGCAGAGAGCCGGATAGAGGCTCCCTTCGCTGCCGGATCGACAATCGACAGCTGAGAGACTATTTTTTGCAATGGTTGACTAAATATGGTCAGGGAAGAGAGAGGCACAAGAGAGCCTGTTTGCCTGGGAGTGCATGTTTCAAATGCTTAGCTGCCTATAAAGCCGTAACAGTTTTGCTCGTGCCCTCTAAGTGGGAAATACGGTTGGTGACTTCTGTAGTGTGTGTGCGGGAGCCCTGACCTCGCGAGCAGACTTGACCTCTGAAGATGGAAAGTAGCTTCAACACAGACCTGCCTACAGTTAAGCCTGGAAACATAACCTCAAGCAAGAAAAGATGCAGTGCAATATCTAAGGAACTAGAAGAAACCAATATTTGCCGGGGGAGGGGGGAGACGATCGCTATTTTTTTGGTGCCTTTTTCCAATTTTTTTTTTTTGGAAGCAACTCCAACTTTTGGGGGCTTGGTTTTGGTCTTTTGTTGGGTTTTTATTTTTCTTTTTGCCTGTGATTATCTTCATCTGACAGTGGGCTAAGTTCACCTTCCCTTGGCTTCCTAGCATCTATCCTTGGAGTCTTAACTCTCAGTCCAGCAGACATAAGGTATAATTTCTATACAACATCATCCATATTTTAGCATTCAAAAGAAAGGAAGAAGGTGCCAATTAGGCACCCATCTTCATGCCTTTTTTTTTTCTTTTAAGTTTTATCTATTTAAGGTGGTGAGGTACTGTATGCACCGACATTCGCCCCCCCTTGCCTCCCCCTCCCATGTAACGAAGAGCTGATTCAGCGAATAGAGTGAGAGCACTCAGGATGAGATGGCTGCTGCTGATGTGTCTCTAGGTCATTACCTCTCTTCCAACTGCAAATGCTGCATGATACTAAGCTTACAGGTAACAGAACATCAGGAGACCTGCATTATTCTGCACGTTTAAAGGATGCCTATGACTTTCTGCATGTATATCTTATTTACTAGACTGTTTTTTTAATTGTTGTATTAATCCCTCTACTCTGGGAACAGCTTAATTTTGAGTGTGCTAAAGTACCAAGCATTTGTAGTGTAAAGAGTAGGTTGAAAGAAAACAACTGTTAGTCCAAATTTCATAGCAAAAATAAAAAGGAAGAAGCCAAAAAATCCAAATCCCAACTTGCTTAGCAGGAAGAATTCTTTTTAAAGAAGATAAACTAATAAATTGCAATGCCACTAACTGGTTGTTCATTTCATTGAAATATATTCTTATCTTCCTATGCACAACTAAAAATGTACAAACTTGAAAAAGAAAACCTAATAAACAGTGTGGTAGTGTAATGCTGAGTTCTCAAATAGGTCTCGGCAAAATTTTCAAGGTGCTTTGTATCAGACGTACATGAAAACAGCCTACTTAAAAACTAGAATGTGACTGCTGTGATTCTAATGCTGCATTGCTGATTCTCCTTGTACTACTGTGCTAGCTACTGCTACACTCTGATTTGCTCTCTATCAGCTGCACTAGGTTTTTGTCATGAGCTGCAGAAATTCTTACTTCCTCTGCTCTCAGCTTTCCTTACAACTATTACAGTTACTAATTATTCAGCTTCTTTCAAATTAACCTTTTAATGCTACAGAGACAAAGCTTAGTCTTTACTGTAACCCAAACCAACTCCTGAAATACATATTAAGCAGCCATGAGCTATATCCGACAGTCCCTCAGAAGTCAAAGCTGTACTGCACATCAAATATTTAACCACCATTCCAAACCAAGTTGCACGAAATCTTACAAAACAGGGTTAAACTTGGGCTTTGTTTCTATGAGGGTTTTTTGTTTGGTTTGGATTAATTTTTTTTAGTTAATTATTTTAGCTGTCATAAAAATTTCAAGGGTGGACAAGACTTTGACTGAAGGTGAGTGCCAGTTTTAAAAAACAAGAAAAGCTGCTTGCAGAAGTGTTGAATAGGTATTAGCTTTCACATGTGACCTTCGGCCTAACAATCCAAATCCTGTCACAGCAGTTAGAGGTTGTTTTCTTAATTCAATGTCATCATCTTTAGGATAAGCAGGATCACTGGTGACATGTGCTTTTGTGTTTGGGTTGGGCTTTTTGTGGGTTTTTTTTGTTTGTTTTGCTTTATTTTTTGTTTTGTTTTTTTTTAAATCACTCTGAAATACAATGTAAATAAATATAAACCTGCAAAGAGTTTGCAGAATGATGGATGGGATACAAAAAAGCATAGAAAAGGGATTTGGGGTAAGAAAATAAGTTTATAGCTGCTATTTTATATCAGTCTATGCTTCCCTTTAGGACACTAGATGCAAACTGTACCCCAGCATGAAAATCTGCTAGAAGACCTGTGAGGAAGCTGAAGTTTTTACAGTGGACTACAACTATGAATTCTAAGAAAAGACATTGCAAACCTACCAGTGATTCAACTCGCTACTTAAACACGGTCACTTAGAAGAGCAAGAGGCTGCAAAAATATGGAAAAGCACTTCTAACATCAGTGCCATCCCAAAACAATGAACTATGCCCAGCTTTAAGACACTGTGCAGGTAAATTGCATTGCAAAGTTCGGTTAGGATAGCAAGTTTATTTTCTACCATCAGTTTATCAGAACTGTTGTCCTTCCAAACAACTGTCAGCTAGTTTCACCTAATGACAGCAAAACAAAGCAGCAAAATACTTTCTAGGTTCATCTGACAGGCAGTCAAGCAACTCTATGTGTACCTGCTCAGAGCACATACTTCTTTATGTACCCATATGAACATACAATGCTATGGAATGTAAAGAAGTATGTATTTTTGGCAGGCAAGGAACGACCAGTAAGAGGAAACTAAACAGCTGCTGGAAGAAACAGGTTTCCCTCTTGTTTGAATGACATTCATGTGACAAATTGGCTTGCTAAGGGTCAGCTGGTATTGCCAAAATAACTCATACTTGTTAGTAACAAATCACAAAACATTAAATTAAGTGACTATAAAAGTGGGTAGGAAGAATTGTTAACAGCTGATAAGCAGAATATTAGCTGCAAACAGAAATTAAAGCAAGGCTGGAAACGAAACCTTGAAATGCACCAATTAAGACTGCAGCATAGCTGCAAAATTCATCCTTACCAGTACTCCTCACTTCATAGATCTTAAACTAAACTCAAAAGCCTAGTTATCAGAATGCATCTCATAAAAACAAGCCAATGTTCTAATAATCACAGCCTGTTCTGTGTACTTCAGATGGTGGTACTTAAATTTGCATCTACCATAGAACATTTAATCCACAGGTTGCAACTGAGACAAGTATTAACAGCTAAGAAATTACAGTGTGAGCTACAAAAAATGATAGCCAAAATAACTGAGTATAACTTCTGCAATTTAATAAGACTTAAGTTAGAATTTTCTCCAAATCAGCACTTATTATGCTCACTGAGCTCTTCGATACAAAGTGCAGTGTCAGGTTTATGCACAGAAAGTGACAATACAGAGATTTCTAGGCCAGAGCTGCTAGTCAGCGGATTAAAGCTATTGACAGATTCCTAAATGAAAACACAAATGACAACTACAGCCTAAAAGGTAAGTTATCTTAAATACTATTTTCCAATTAGCTGAATTTATTTTAAATCCAAATTTAAGAAAATTTGCCATAAAAATTTTTTAAGAACTACATGAGGAAGAGTCCCTCAATAGTTTCAAGGTCTAAAAGTGGTATTAATTAAAATACACTGATGCATACCATCCCTAAGTAAAGATATTCAACATCAAATCCAGGAACTAGGGAGAAATGTGAGGAAAAAAACTCCCCACTCATCAATCCAGCCATTTCTATTCATGACAGCAGCCTTCTAAAAGCAGTTATTAAATAGGATATGTCCATGATAAGTAGGAACATTTGGCCCAGGTTAAAGATTCTAACTGTAGCCCTTTGCTTACTAAAACGTCTGTGAGGAAAAAAACTCCAACCAAAACAAACAAGAAAAATAAAGGTAACATACAATTTTTAGATGGAGGACTTATTTTTAAATACTCACATAATTCTCAAACAGCTAATAATATACACAGCCTGATATTTTTAACACTTGAAACTACTTACTAATATATATACAAGCAGAAATATTACCTTACCTGCTTAAGAAAGCAAAGTTTCAGTATTTTTTTAAAAGCTCTTTCTTTTATGAGCAAATATTTTGACATGAAGGCTACAGTATCTTAACATCTAAATTAAAACCTGGTTTATAGTGGGAAACAAATCAAACTGCAGTAGCTTTTCTGAATAAAGCAAGGCTACTAAACTCAATCATGCTCACAGAAGCAATTTGGTATAACTAGCAGTTTCACTTAGGGGTTAATTGCTAAGCATTTTCTTCTTTTCCTGATGAGTTCCTGTACTCTGCGTCTATTGATTTAGCTTCTTCTATAAAATGGGACAGATTTTTTAACAGCTTTAATTTATCCGAGAGGTTTTTGGTAACAATTTATCATATTGTGTTCTCCCTTGTATAACATTGCAATGTTATTCTGACACAAAATGACAGTTCAGAGTGATACAAAAGTTAAAATTATATGTTGACATTGCTTCCTGCTAGTTCATGTTAGCATATCTCTAAGAATACATACCCAGTCACTCTAAAATGTCACATCCATCACTTAGATCAGCTGTTCAATTTTAACCGAGCACACGTTGAACTTTGGGCATCTGCTGACACAGTTGTAACTCAAACATTTCAACTGTGTGACTGACAGGGATAACAGATGCTGACATTATCAAATGCTACACGGCTTTTTTTCCACAGCCGTTTTTTGTCCCGATATGGCCAGTACATGAAACTGTATTGCCATCCAAAAGCGCACTTGAGCAGCTGTATCTGTGAAACAGTTCCTCTATAACTGGTAAAAATAGAAACTCATTTTATAGCCATCTTGATGCTTAAGTCCAAGTGACACACCTGCCACGTTTCTATTAGGATACATAGTGTTGGGGAATATATTTACATAAATCTTCTCACCATCATCAGACTATGCAACAAACACATGTCGACTATCCTTGACATACTCATTACTAGAGAATGGTTTGAACTAAAGTTGTCCCGATTTCCACTGCAGTAAAATCTCAGAATTCAGTATGACATAAAAAAAAAAAAAAAGCTGTGAGCTCACACAATTTTGTATTAAGGACTTTAGTTTAGAAGAAATCAGATGCAACCCCAGATAAATCTTTAAAAGCTGTGTTTTTCTGGCATTAAACATTTTTACATATGCTAGCAAGGTAAAAAAATTAAATTTATCCTGCTATATTATATAATCATTCCTAAAAAGTTAATACTAACCAGAGATATAGCAATGGAATTGAAAGCACTTGGCATTTATATTTGTGCTAACCAACTACAGCATAAAAGCAGCTGCAAAAGGGAACCTGCCAGAAAATGAATGAGGGAAAGGGGGGGGGAAGAGGGTGACAAGGAAACTGAAACGTTCTACCCCAGTAAAGTTTAACATAAAGAAGTAGGGGAGCTCTATCTATTTCTGATAAAAACTTTAAGACCACAGTTTCTAACCCATTCTAAAATCTGATTACACTAGACAGGAAAAAGTTTAAACTGTAGCTATGATTTGATGTGAAATTCATCCAAAGATCCTCAAGGAAATACTCAAGGACAGAACAAATCTGTACAGGCCTTTCTGGTATACGGCTTCTAATTGTGCCATCTCCAAATTAGGAAAGAGTTAAAAGCTTGCATTGACAAGAAACAAACTGTGTAACACAGAAGAAAGCCGCGTGTTCTTTGTCCACTGCTCATGTGCTTTAAAATGTGTTACTGAATTATAAGCTTCCTGCACTCCAATGCTTTGCTAAAGCTGGTAAAATGGAACCAAATCAACTGTTCAATGGATTTGGTCCCCTTCAACCAGCTGTAGCTATGCATTGATCACTACAGGATTTCTCATGTTGTTAAACCTGGACACGAAACCTGCTCAGAGCAATTATGTAGTCCTCTCTTCAGTCCAGCTCAACTTCTAGGCAGCCTGAAGATGGAAGGTAACCAGGAGTGTAGCAAATTCTGTACTCCAAAATTTCAAGTTTGTATTTGTAAATAAATAGCTACTGGTATTTAACATTTTGTCCATATGCAGTAAAAATAATCTCTTACAACATTTATAAAGAAGAGAGGTAAGCAGTGAAATAAACACTTCCCAATGATTTATTGTCTCTTGTATTCTTCCTCAAGTCTGGTGCCCTTTCTAGCAGAACTGATCAAAAAAACCCTAAAACCAAAAAGAAACAATCATGAACAGTAGTGGCAGGGCAGGTTTACTTTCTGGGCACCCCTCTCCCCTTTTCTATGTTGTACAAGGAAGGAAACTCCACAGGGCAGGGACTGTATTTGCCATTTTGTATCTGTCAGGCACATTATTTACCACTTGAAGATAATGAATTTGTTACTGACCTCAACAGCTACAGGCTAATCTGCCACCTAATAATAGATCTGCTCATGGAGATTATACTCTTCCTCCAAACGAACTTGAACAAAAGTATTCTTCCAAAGCATTTTCTGACAGAATACTTTAATAAGAGGTTTTAAAAACAGGCTCTCTGCACTCAGCTTAACCTACATTGACTGTCAGAACTGCAAATACAAAAGCAAAAAACCACTTTGACTGGTTTAGAAAATAATTGTACCACTCTCATTTCCTCAGAATTTGTCTCTCTGAGACCTCCATGACAACACAGCCCATGAGTCCTGCAGACACTTCCTGAAGACACTCATTAACACTACGTAGAAGTGAGAAACCCCAGTTCTCAATTATGCTACAGTTATAAATTTCACTGTCAACCCGTTCAAACCATCTGCAAATTAAAAAAAGTTGAGATCTCCTAAATAATAAGAAAACCATGGGGGAAAATTACAATTCTATTTTAAACCACAATCTCCTGCTTGCCAGTTTATGAACATAAAGATGACATACTTCTTGCTATTGGAGAGCAGCAATACCTAAAATCTGTACCTTGCTCCAGGACTTTAATTTTTTGATTTAAAGTCCAGCAGAATTTATTACTCTGAAGAACTAACCATCCACGTGTGTGAAGTCAGGTCAGCTCCAAGACCAGCCTCTATTTAAGATGCTAGCTGCAGAGTGAATAAAGCTCTCTTCACAAGATACAATGCAAATCTAAAACTAACTGGGGCAACGGATATAAAATACGCCTACACTTCACAGTCATGTCTTCAGCTCAAAATCTGAAGTCACAGGTATGCGAATAGATCAAACATAAGCAAGAGATGATAACATGGCAAAAATAACCAATCTGTACAGTATTTTCAAATTTTACTCTCCTTTTTTCTGTCTGAAAAAAAATCTTATTAACAGTGAAGAGGCAAAGTCTGCCAAGCTTTGAGGCTCACAGTACTTTGAAAAAAGTCCAAAATAAATGCACTTTTAATATGACTGACTCAGTTAAAAATCACAAACAAGAAACCAAGTATTAAATAAAAGTTTAACTTCCCCATACTTAATTTAAAATTTCTTTTTAGCTCTATCTCCCATGCACAAGTTTAAAGATACCTACAGCATAAACTAACATTCCTTCTACATTTCAACATTATACATCAGCACAAAAACCAAAAGCTCTTTCTGTACCAATTCACAAGGTACAAAGAGAAGCAAAACATGAAAAGGAGAAATATTCTACTAAGAATAGGATGCTCTCTGAAACACACTGTACCTTGACTTGTGGAAAACACAGCCAAACTGCCATGGAAGACTCCCAGGCAGTGGAGTCAGATACTTTCTCAGCAGATAAAGTGCTGAGAAAATCTAAGCTATTTGACATAAATCACCATCTTTCTTATCATATTTATCCAATATTCAAACATTCAAAATGGAATGTATTTGTTTTCATATGAAAAATTAAAAACGTTGGAATGTTCTTCTCAGTATAAGTTGTAGGTTTTTTTTCTTGGGACATTTATCTCCCTATTATTTATAAAGGTCAGAACTCAAGAAACAAGAGGTTTTGCTCTGAAAATGAAATTGGTTCCAAATACCTATTTAACATAATTAGAAAAATTACTAAAGAAATCCACCTCCATTTATTGTGGTACTCATGGACTTAACACATGCATTTATTTTATTATCCCCAACAAGGACAATGTATGTGAACTTCATTAATTCTTGCATGCATAGCACATTTTTAATTTTTAGAATTACAGCTATGCACACAAATGCATACACATTTATATACACATGTGAATACATGTTTAACTTTTATGAAATAATATAGAAATTATATTATGTATCCATATATTTGAATATAAGGAGAATTTAATACATTGTATTAACATTATGCACCACATCCTGAAGTCACAAAAACTCCAGTTTAGGTGGAGCGAGGAAGCTTAGATGAGGAAAGACAGGTCTAAAGAAAGGTTTCAAGCAGAACTTATTACATACTGTCTGTGACCCACAGTAATAACAAGCTAAAGATGAGAGGGTTATTTTTAACAGTGTCTTAAATAGCTTGTGCTTAGTGCATTTAACAGATCAGTAGTAGCCATTGTTCTATATCAGATTAGAAAAACAAAGTGGCAAACACAAAAACTTTGGTTTCATTCAGAAACAGGCAAGTGGCAGAACTACAAAATCAGCAATGAAACAAAGGAGGATCACTGAAGTCTTGAGGAATATAAAACTCAACTCCTAGATGAATGAAACTATTATGACAATTTTTAGCTGGGGGGAGAAATCAAAATAGATTTATTTTGGTTTCATTTTCAATTATTTCTTCCCAGGCTGATGGGTAAAATATCTAATGCTTTGAGCATTGTAGATATTTTAGATGAAACTACTATATGTATCTATAGCATAGATATTTTAGATGAAATTGCTCCTTCTGTGATGGGAGACAAAATTACTTTTCTGCATGCTTAAGCAGTGCTCAGATGGAACTGCAACCAAAAAAGAATATTAAATATCTGTTTTAGATACAAGTGAAACCCCATGTACAGAGGGAACCCACACAGCATTCAAATCCCTAATACCCAAAACATTTTCCAACATTTCTAATAAAAACTTTTGTAAAGGAGGAAGGATTCTGGTTAAAACTGCACTATACTTCTCATTCTACCAACCATCAAACTGATCCAGTCTGAACTACGACACAGATCCCTCCATCAAATGAACGGTCTGTCACTTCTAAAATACTTACCCACAGAAAAATCTCCAGCACATGCCTATGAAAAACATGTTCCCACCCATACACCTTCCCTAACATCTCGAGATTATGGTCACACAAACCAGCTACCACAAGAGCCGAGGAAGAGCATTGCAAAAAAAAAAAAAAAACAAACTAAACAAAAACCAAACCAAAAAAAACCAACACCAAAAAATACCCCACCAGAGTAAGACAGGAAACTGTGCTGCTGGCTAATGCTGTTATAGAAGTAGGAAGAATTCACTTTAGAGGAAGAAGTTACCAAATGAGACTTGAAAGAATTGTCTTCTGAATGCCAAAAATAAGCTCCCTTCACTTGGTCCTTGACACGTTCTCATAAAGACCTTTTATGAGTACTGAAGAAAATGGTAAACATTTATTTGTCTTATCAACACTTTCAGCCACTACTTTTACCTCATGTAATGATACCATTCCACAAACGTAGATAATTAATTATGTTTACTTTTTAACCATCAATCTTGATAGCTATGTTCTAAGAGACTAACCTAGATTTTAATCCCATATATTAATAATGGGCGGAATTTATACAAATTTACAGCCTTATTTCTCCAACTTCTCTCAACTGAAAAGCCAAATTTAGTAGTAAACAAGGAAACACAGACATTTCTTCTTATGTGTAAGCTATACTACATACTTCACCTGAGGATAAAGTATTATTGAAGTCTTGTTGGCATGACAGCCTTGAAAAATACCATTTATCCACAATGTAATAAGGAACCACCAACACAACTTTTCTTTGAAGTTCTATCTACACAGGAGTTTTCAAAAGCCCCCTTAACTGAAAATTGAATGTAGATGTATAAAGTACAGTTATAAAATAAACTGCCTTAAATTTTTTTTCAGTTGAGCTGCTATACAAAAGCTGAAATACAAAATTCCTTCCAGATATACTTCTATGGAAATATAATTAACTGTTTCAAATACTGACAAATATAATCTAATGCAATAATCCTAAGAGTGCTTTAGAACTGTATGGTTTACTTAATAATTACCCACAAATAAGTATTTCTAAAAATATCAAATTCCTTTATCAATTCCAATACTCAAGAAGGGAAATATAGCAGTATTTACTATTTTTATCCTGTGTCAAGATTCCATCTTCAAGATCTTACTAACTTACTTATCAAAACTTTTATTGGCAAAAGTTTATAGCCATGACAGGAGATTTCTCAGGAATTTGGAGTTATCTGGATACAGGCATTAAACTGAGCAGACTCCTAGCTTCATTCTAGTAAGGGCTTCCAAACATTAGAAAGATGCATAGCTAAGCAACATGAACATTTAAGAAATACAACTACATGCAGATTTAAGGATCTTCAGAAAGAATACCATAGTTCTACCCTCATATGTACTTGTTTTCCTTTTAAATACAATAAAAAAAAAATCTTTAAAAAGAAATCTGTACCTAGGGTTTCCTCTTAGTGCAGCATGATGAAGAGCATTAAACCCATTGTTGTTGGTGATAGTAACATCTGCTCCAGCTTCTAAGAGTACAGCAAGGATATCATCACGCTTTTTACTTATTGCATCATGAAGTGGAGTGTCTCCTTCAGAATCCTAAAACCAAAAACAGTTTATGTCAATTTTTGCATGCATCTACATTATAAAGATGTTAAAATATCACTAGGAAAACTGACTGCATAAACACAAAACAGCTCTTCAAAACCTGAGTGCTACTATACTGCAGAGCTCAGAGCAAGCTGCTTCTCATCTTGCTTCAGTGGGAATCCCCACGCTGAGCTCCACCATTACACAGACACACTGCTGCCAGAACTGTGCTTTGTACCCCATAGTACTGAAGACACTGTGGTAGATAATGACTTCTCTATGCTGCTCATCCAGATGGAGTTGGATGCCCAAATTACAATTTATGAATAACAGGGCAGCAACAAAAACTAATGTGACAGAGGGAAGACTAGACAGGCAGAAGGAGGCATGGAATTTTGAGTAATAAATGCTAAGTTTAGCCAGAAATTAACCATGTAGAAGACAATACAATTTGGAGTTATCTGGATACAGGCATTAAACTGAGCAGACTCCTAGCTTCATTCTAGTAAGGGCTTCCAAACATTAGAAAGATGCATAGCTAAGCAACATCAACATTTAAGAAATACAACTACATGCAGATTTAAGGATCTTCAGAAAGAATACCATAGTTCCACCCTCATATGTACTTGTTTTCCTTTTAAATACAAATAAAAAAAAATCTTTAAAAAGAAATCTGTACCTAGGGTTTCCTCTTAGTGCAGCATGATGAAGAGCATTAAACCCATTGTTGTTGGTGATAGTAACATCTGCTCCAGCTTCTAAGAGTACAGCAAGGATATCATCACGCTTTTTACTTATTGCATCATGAAGTGGAGTGTCTCCTTCAGAATCCTAAAACCAAAAACAGTTTATGTCAATTTTTGCATGCATCTACATTATAAAGATGTTAAAATATCACTAGGAAAACTGACTGCATAAATACAAAACAGCTCTTCAAAACCTGAGTGCTACTATACTGCAGAGCTCAGAGCAAGCTGCTTCTCATCTTGCTTCAGTGGGAATCCCCACGCTGAGCTCCACCATTACACGGACACACTGCTGCCAGAATTGTGCTTTGTAGAAGACAGTGTAGTAGATAATGACTTCTCTATGCTGCTCATCCAGATGGAGTTGGATGCCCAAATTACAATTTATGAATAACAGGGCAGCAACAAAAACTAATGTGACAGAGGGAAGACTAGACAGGCAGAAGGAGGCATGGAATTTTGAGTAATAAATGCTAAGTTTAGCCAGAAATTAACCATGTAGAAGACAATACCAAAATGCGAAATTAAAGCATAGGCAAATCAAAATAAAATGTAGTCCAGGTACTAAAAGTAGGGATATCTGTTGTTTTAACTGAAGCATATAATTTTCCATGAAGCAAAAGCCAATGCCATAAAGCAATATTAAACTTTTAACTTGTTATGGCTAACACAAAATTTATATTACACAAGGTGCATGATAATACTTGACAGCACAATTGAATAGGCAAAGAATTTATACTTTTAGCTTAATGTTTTATTTTTCAAGTATCCCAAATGAGGAAAAAATACTTTTTACTCCTAGAAGCATTTTGTACACTACTTACTCAAGGACTCAATTTGGTTGGACTGAAGAGAAATGCCCTACACTAACAGCGAGAAAACACATCAATTTAAGCTTATTTGCAGCTACATAGGCAAAATCTCCAGATTTATGCTTCCAGTAAAATTCTTGCACCATATAAGTCAGGAAGTTTCTTGTCACCAACACTGACTCAACTGCAAGCTAACACAGAAACTGAACATTTTAGCAATACACTAGTACGAAAACAGATCTTTACAGTGAGAATCAAAACCTGCCAAACAAAAAGTGCCAGAATATGGCACTTGAACCAGTGTGAACCAATTTGCCTGAACTAAATCATGTATCTTTTATTTGGTCTAAATGATCATATTTCCTGTTTACAAACTACCATATGTTTCTGTTTACACAGTGAAGTGGCCACAGAAGTAGGGTGCTGGCCAGTTAAATCCCAGTCATGCCTCAGTCTTACTCCTCTGTGCTTTCATTGACAAAATCAATCACCTACTCACATTTGCACATCACAGTTCCTCAGCACACATGCTGAATCTGAAAGTTCATTTTTTTTCAATGGCCAATTACATTTTCCAGATGGAGCATCCTTGCACCATTCTACCGACTTTTTCAACTGAAACAAAATTCTGTAATTTAAACTCAGGCAAATCCACTTTGGCTACCCATAGCTCCTACGTGACTTACAATCACCCTTCACTCGTCTCAGCATATCAGGCTCCATTTTATACCTACTGTTCAACAAACACTAAACAGGATCTGGATGGATATAACAGCTCAAGCTCAGCAAGATCAAGAGAGAACCTTAAGAGTCCCGTAGGAGATGATAAATAAACAATCACTATGCTAATTAATTTCAAAAAAGTGTTTGCCCATTTATTTTATGTGGATATACAGCCCCAAAAAAACCTCATTACTGACATGGCAAAGCAAGGAGGCAATGTCTTGTTACTGCATATCTTGATTTGCCCAGGCCACTACAACTTTTTCTGATGTCAATCTCTTCAAATTTACCATTCTCATTTGATTTCCTAAAACAGTTCATGTAGCTGCCTTCAGCAGTGTGGATATCTGCTTATCTGAAAGCATATTTCCACTTTACCTTCTAAACAGGACATTGCACTTATTCCAATGCTTCCATCACCTTTATTACAGATGAAATTCCCTATGAAATTACAGTACTTGAGATCCTACACATGAGCGCTTTCTAGATAAAAAGCTGAATATTTGAAAGTGAATTGGACTAGATAGTTCTATCAATGATAAATCTATTTTGGAGAAAAAATAAAAGACTTCTTTCAACAAAACATTCCACAGTATCGTCAGCCTGCTAAACTGTAGCTTGCAGGAGCACAGAGTTGTGGGTTCGATATAGGAGTAATTAAACAGGAAGGAAAGTTAACAACTAGAAATAACTACAGACTGTGAAAATACCAATTAGCATCTACTATAGAATAAACGAGGTGTCTATCTAGCTGTCAAGAAAAACAGACTTAACAGCATTTTTGTTACAGGTGATCACATGGTTGGGTAAAGGTTGAGACAGACAACATTACAAGCTCTGCTCCTTTCAGTCCCACTTACCATAATTTTTCTATCACCTACATGCAGCAAATCACACAATTCAGTAGCTGAAAAGTGACCCTACATTAAAATTTACTTTACCTGAAGACTGGGGTGGCAGCCAAAGTCCAGTAAAGTCTTGACAACTTGCAGATGACCTTTGTTGACAGCAATGTGGAGTGGAGTCTGCCTGCGCTTGTTGCGAGCATTCAGATCTGCGCTGCCTCGGTGCAAAACCTCAATCACAGCACCCTCGTCACCGAAGGCAGCATGATGGACAGCCCTGTCTCCATCCTTGTCCTAAAGTGGAAACAGTCATTTAACCTGGTATATTTCACATTTCCTTTGCATTTAAACAGGATTACTTCAACTAACAACTGTCCATATTTGATGCAATAAGAAAAACAAGACTACCACAACACTGTTAAAGCACCTATTTAAATCATTTCTCAAACTGCAGCAACAGAGGATGAAGAATCACTTCATACATAAACACACATGCTCTACAACATATGATATTCTACAGCATATAACTCTTGCCCTGAATCTTTGTGTGGTTTGTTCATCAAACTCAAATGGCTTCATTCGGGTTCCTACTACAAAACAACCACTGTCAAGAATATATCCAAAACAAAAGAACCAAAAACCCCACAGATGAAATCCAATGCCCAAACAGTATTACACTTAATATCCCCAGGGTAGTTGTTCCTGTAACCCGGGAAGTGTTACAGATTCCAAACCACAGTGCAAGACATGAGTATTTTCTTGTTCGTATAATTAGGTTAGTATTTATGAGGATTTATTATGTGTCATAGTTTTCACTTAATAAACCTTTTCCAAAGGAAATTTGTGACTGATACTGACATTAACTAGAAGTTTTGATTCTGTGTTGATGATTCACAGTGTTAAAACTCTGATTCAGTTTGTTCCAGTTTCACACAAATTGAGAATTAAAATGTGAAAGTCAAATTTGTCAGTTTAGGCTATTTTAACATTCATAGAAGTTGACTGTACAACATGGAATATGTTAAAATATCAATCAAGTGATTTCAGCATTAGTGACAGCATACAAAAGATAGAAGTAAAATGGAAGTTTACAGGATGAAATAATTTTCATAAGCTAGTTTCTAGCTGGGTATTTCTGCATAGTTTAATGTAACCATACATCTGTATGATTCAGTTTTGAAAACAGAGAAACACTGAAAATTGTAAAATAAAATCATGACTGATCAAGGGTGCACTGTCTCTCCTGAGTTAGCTTAGGTTTCTCATCAATTTGCTTTTTCAGCAACATCCTTCTAAAGCATTTTTTATTATGTATTGCATATCTCTAAAATAATATAAACCTATGCAAAAATTAATAGCTCTTCGCACAAACTGTATTTGCACAATGAGATGTTATAGCATTCAAAATGGTGGAAGAAGACTTATCCCCTAATTATGAAATGTATCTTTTTGAAAAAATGGATATGGTTTTCAAGATAGTCAGGGCACTACATAGCAGCTTAAACAACTTTTTGGAAAGATACTTTTATTCCTTCCAAATCAACTCATGCTACTAAATTACCTTCTCAGATTGCAGGATTCCTTCTCAGGCTCATCTAACATGAACCAACAGTGAAAAGAAGCCAAAACTTGCCCATTTGGAAAGGAGAAAGGATCAGAAAGGGGACCTTCTCTATATTTTTCATCTGGTTATAAGGATCACTATGAGGCAAACCTAATCA